TCGTTTATCTTGTAAAAGTATGCTTCATAATTTTCCTACCTACATTAAATCACAAGCCGAACAATTTTCATCTGTATTGACTGAATTACAGCAAATTAAATATATGAAAAAACCTATTTATTCAGCCAATATTATAAGGTATTCACTGATATTACGATATACTTCTATGCAGTCATACCAACTTTTGCGTGAAGAATTGCCTTTACCATCATTATCATTACTTAAAAAAATAACTAGTGGAAATATTGATGCTCTAAGTTGTGCAAAACGTTTAAAATTAGAAGGTAAGATATCTCAAGACATTTGCTTGATTTTTGATGAAATGTACTTGCAAAAATGTGAGGAGTATTTTGCTGGAGAGATGATTAGTAGTGATGAGTCTGGAGAAATGTATAAGGGAATAGTTTGTTTTATGATAGTTGGCCTGAAACAAAATATTCCATATGTGATCAAAACGTCTCCTGAAAAAACAATCAATGCTAAATGGTTGAAAGAAGAAATTTTTGAATGTCTTCGTATTTTAACTGAATGTGAATTTAATGTTAGAGTTATTGTGTGTGACAACCATTTTGCTAATGTTTCTTGTTTTAAAAAAATCCTTTGTGCATTGAATCAACAAGCTGAAGATTTGTTTTTTATTTACAATCTAAAAAAAATTTACCTCTGTTTTGATGTTGTACATCTTATTAAAAACATCAGAAATAATTTGTTAAATTGCAAAAGATTTTTATTTCCAGATTTTAACTTTAATGGATTTAAAGATCCTATAATTGTATGTGGGGGAGAAATTAAATGGAGTACCTTCCACAATATTTATGAAAAAGACCTCACTCTTGATGCTGGTTTGCGTAAAGCACCAAAAATAACAATGAAAGTGTTGCATCCTGGCAATTTTAAACAAAATGTTTCTTTAGCACTTGCAATTTTTGATGAAACTACATCAGCAGCGATTCACTCATATTTTCCAGATCTTAAAAGTAGTGCAGATTTTCTTACATTATTTAACAAGTGGTGGGTTTTATCAAATTCTAAATGTCAGTATTCAGCATGTAATATTTTAGGTAATGCAGTCGTTTCTGGTGATAAAAAACCTGAATTTCTTTGGGAAATGGCACATTGGATTGAAGTTTGACAATCACAAAAGATACCAAACTGTGAGAAGTTTACTTTAAGTGTTCAGACAGCTGCAGCACTAATTAGAACACTTAATAGTCATGCCTCATTGATCAAGGACTTGCTTAATGATGGATATCACTTTGTTTTAACTGCGAGATTTCAAAGTGACCCATTAGAAAGGAGATTTGGACAATATAGACAAATGAGCAGTGGAAGATTTTTGGTAGGTTTAAAAGATGTCACTATTTCTTAAAAAATATTAAAAATCAAAAGTATAGTTAAAGAAAGTATTAACTTCGATGATAGTTTAAAAGTGCCTGAGTCAGAAAATAATTTAACAGATTGGAAAAACTTTCTTCTTGATATTGATGAAGCTCAGTGTACTCCAGAAATCATGACACTTGCACCAGAAAGTAGGGAAGTAGGTGCTCATATTGCTGGTTATATTGCAAAGAAACTTAAAAAACGTTTTGGTACATGTTGTAAAGAATTTTTATGTTGTGTCAATATTGATGAAAGCAATCCTGATCATACTTATTTAACAATTATTTCTAGGGGTGGTCTCACTATTCCTTCACCATCACTTTTGGATTATGTTTGCACATCCTTTGCTATGATGGACTACTTTTATAAAAAAATAAAGAAATTTAGTTTACATGCACGACAAGCTTTAGAATATTTGTTAAACCACTTTTATGACTCTGAAATTTTTCTTCAAAATGTAAAATATCCGGTCGTATAAATAAAGTAGGCCACGATACACCTGTTTGCTAATCAAATTTTTTAGCGAAAATAATAAAATAAGATTATTTTTGCTTTTTTAAACGAAATCATTGTTTGTACGTGCATGCAAATAAAGTTTACATAATATAACTCTGATTTATACATAAAAAAATGTGTATATAATTTGATTTCTCTCTTTCTTCTTCAGATTGATGTAGTACACCCCCCGTGTTAAAACCAACATAAGTATATTTATTATTTGTTTTCATCTTTTGAAATTTCATAGAATAAGTGCATCAATGCATACCTAAAATGACTGGAGTTTAGTGACTTAAATAGGGATAGGGGCAGTGGAGTATACATACATTTACCGAGGGTTTAGATTTGGACAAGTTTTCTTTAAAACAAAAGAAAAGTATTTTAATATTTATTTAAATTGAGTTTATAAATTAATTTAATTTGAATAAAAAAATTATAAAGTTGAGTTAAACAAGAAATTTAATAAAATCGTCAGATTAACTAATAATTAAACTTATGTTTAAATACGCGCGTATAACTTAAAAAAAATTAGTTGTACGCGCATGTATGTCGGAAAAATAGCCACTTTTCTGTGGAATCCGGTGTCGGAACAATAACCACGGTCTTTACAAAACCGGAGTTTAATCTGATCCATTGTATAAAATCGTATTTAAATTAGGGTTGTTAACCGGAGGATTTCGTGTAATTGAGGAAAAACAACATTCTTTCGTAAGGAGATTGAGAACGAGGAATTATATTTTTTCGTACCGAATGTTACAAATCATTTAAAATCGCCGATGTTCATTTCGCAAAAGCTACTTCCGAAATTTAACATTTCGCAAGTTGACATACAAAACAAAACTATTTTGCAACATACGAAAGTAGCGGTTTCGGAAGTCGCACTTGCGAAACAAACATTTTCGCCAAACAACGTTTTGAAGTTTATAAAGAAAACTTGTTTGCCAGACTGATTTTAATTGTAAAAAGTAACATCTTTAAATACCAAAATGTTTATAATGAATTTTTATTTTCAGTATAATAACGTATTAAATTTTTACGGTTTTATTTTTAGAAATATTGATAAAAAATAAAATTTCTTTCGAAACGAAAGTATTTTGCATCACAACATACGAAAGAGTTCTTAACGGAAATAAACTTACGAAACGTGCCATAATAAAAATATATAACGACGCTTTTTGAACTCATTACGTATAGTAAAAATAAGGAGGATGGGTAGGAATATACGTGTTTTTTTTTTTAAAGAGTATGAAATTTTTGAAATACGTTCGAATATGCTTAAGCAAATAGTAAAAAAAGGCTTAAAAATATGCTCAAGCTTAAGCATATTTCTAATAAAATATACCTATTTAAATAATTTCCAAAAGTGTGCACGTTACTAAAGGTTAATGGGTATAAGAAAAATAAAAAGTTATGCTCTGTATTTTTGTTTTGGTTTTAATGTAGCTGAATTTATGTTGTTATAAACTTCGTTTTTTGTTGGTTTAAATTTAGAAATACATATATTTAAAATTTTTAATTAAATAAAAATAAAATTTTTTAAGGTTTATCAAGGCTCCGGAATATGCTTACATATGCTTATTTTTTTTCCAAACCTGAGCCTATAAGCGTTATGCTTATAAAAAAAACAACGAGTATTTACAGTAGAATTCCGTTATCTCGGTCCCTGGATAAGTAGGACTTTAGGGCTATCCATAAATCTTCTCTTTTTACTCTTTCTTGATATTATTTACCTTTAGAGAGATCTCTCGTTCTTTATAATAAAGTATTTAATCGTTTATCACACATCCTCTTTATACTTTCTAAAAAGAAAGGCATACACGTACACACATCCATCAAAGCTTAATCATACTACGTCACTCGCATGATAGTCATTACTTTTCTTCTCTTATATATTAGCTGCACGCGCTCCCTTACTTTTTAGTTTTACTTATTTACTTGTGAAGTATACGTAAACAATTTTTAAATTTTAATATAAAGTACTTTGCTAGAAGCTTGTGCTTTTTCACTGAACATCTGTCCAACATCTTTTTAAAACTATTTTTTAATGCTGACTTTAACATAATCTTTTCTCTTTCTTCCCTGAGACTCTAACGGCCTATTGTTTTCCAATAAAGTAACTAGTTTTCGAGTCCAGTTATGAGTTATTAACATTGTAGATGTAAATACAAGGTATTTACATCTACAATGTGGTATAGAAATAGCATATTTGCTTTGTGGGGAATTCAATGTGTGTATATATATATAAATATATATACACACACATATATATATATATATATATACATATATATATATATATATATATATACATATATATATATATATATATATATATATATACATATATATATATATATATATATATATATATATATATATATATATATATATATATATATATATATATATATATATATATATATATATATATATATACAAATACTCCTTCCGTAAGGAACCATTTCGTAAGTATTCTTACGAAAGGATTTTTTTCGCAAGTTTTCTATCGCAATGTTTATTACGGAATTTAGTTTGAAATGTCCAGAAAAATCAAATTTCAATTCATTTTACTTTTTTTATATTTTAGTCTTATAACGGTAACTCCATATTATATTTAAATGATAAACTTATTTAAATATAATATGGATTATATTTTTGAACCAAATATGAAACAATAGTTAATAAGTTATTGTATATACCAAGTCTTGGTATATATAGGTATTATCAAATATTGTGTCCTTGGTATATATAGTTTCAAATATATGGTATGGTATATATAGTATCAAATATTTTTTCCTTGTAGTATTATATGGTATGGTATATATAGTATCAAATATTGTTTCCTTGGTATATATAGTTATTATCAAATATTGTTTCCTCTCTTGGTCCGAGAGAGAAAACAATATTTGATAATAACTATAAGTTAATACAAAAAATATATGCGTTAAATATATCATAAGTAAAAATTAAGTAGTTTTATAACCATTTAAGTTTTTTTTTAGTTTATTTGGGTTTTGTTGCAAGCAATATATTGCACAGTAAAATTGTTTTTTGTAAATTAAATCTAGTATGTCAAATATAAAATATATTGCAGTTGTATGTCAAATATTTATTATTTAATTTTAGTTACTCTACAATTTACATTAAAAAGAAAAACATGGAAGAACTTCAACAGCTTGAATTTTTGTCTTTGGTATCTAAAGTTTGTACGGAACTGGAGAACCATTTAGGAATGAATGATAAAACACTTGGTATTTAAAAGAAAAATACTTCAATTATTTGTTGCAAAATTTTTATTAATAATGTTTCTCGACTGATAGAATGTCTCGACTGATAGAATGAACATTTAAGTTCCTTATATCAAGTATAAAATGTTTTTACATTTAGCTGAGTTTATCATCATGCTTGCTGGTAAAAGCAAAACAGTTGAAAGTTTTAAAAGTCGATTAGAAAAAAATGGCGCTGAATTTCCTGTAAGTTATTTTTTTTAAACTAGCAATTGCAGATGGAAAGAGTTGACTTGTAAATAAAAAGGTTGGGTTTATATGCAAAATTCATTTCAAGGCATTCTTTTAAAAAGTAGTAAAACAAAAGATATACTATAAATTATTACAATAATATTGCAATCAGAACAAAATTTACTGAAGTTAACATGACAAAAACAACATTGTAACACAAAATAGCAATTAGCCAGTTAACATTAAAAACTGGTTTGCTAATGTACCATTACCTAAATTGTGTAAACTCCAATGACTGTTGGCTAATGATGAACAACATCAACAACAAGCTATTTATTTTCCATAAATCATTTTAAAATAGTATTAATAAAAAAGATTATTAAAGTAAATTTTAAATTATAAAAATTTATGCAGAAAGGTTCTATTATGCATTAGTGGATATGGCTAGGCAAGGTCTGTTGCTTTTGGGCATATTAAAGGCTTTTAAAAAAGTCTGGCATGCTGATCTTCTCCATAAGCTTACTTTGTATAGTGTATCTGAAAATGTTTTTGTTTTTATTAAATTATTTTTTTCTAACCGCCATATTAAAATTGTCTTTAAATACTAACACTCCTCTTTATATCCAGTAACTTCTGGGATACCACTAGGTTCTATCCTTGGTCCTGTATTGTTTCTCATTTACATTAATGATTTTTCTTTTTACATCAAAATCTAAAGTGACTATCTATCATCACATTTTATTGGTAAACCGGCAGATAAAACTCGTTATTTACTGCAAACAATTGATGTGAGAATATCTGGAGAATTGTTAATGTAAATTAAAAAGAGTATAGGGCCAAGGATTGAACATTAAGGAAGCTCTGAAGTTACAGGATATGAAGAAGAGTGCTGTCCATCAAGGACAACTTTTATACTACGATTCGCGAGGAAGGATTTAATAATCTTAAATATTTCACCTAATACACTGTAAGAAGAAAGCTTATGGAGAAGACCGACATGCCAAACTTTATCAAAAGTTTTAGAAATGTTGATAGCAACAGCCTTAATCTCCTCACCTCTAAGGCACAACAAATCCTATTGGTTATTATAAAACCTATTGGTTATTACACAACAAAACCTATTGGTTATTAGCAAATCAGCTGTAATATGCATTATTATAAAGTATATCTTTTTGATATTTTGCAAAGGTTATGAATTACCTTGGTATTAAGTATTTTTTATATATTTTTTTAGGATTCATTGATTTCAAATTTATATCGCCTTATTAAAGCTTTACAGCCTGTTACCTCATCAAAGAAGAAAGGTTGGTATATAGCAAATCATGCATAAGTTTCATAATTTTTTAATTTTTTTTTTTTTTTTTTTTTTTTTTTTTTTTTTGTATAGGGAATCATAAAACTTAATCATGCCTCCCAGTAAACAAATTTCATTTTTTCTATGTATTTTTGATGTCTCAATATGTCAAAAAAAGGCCATGTGTTTGCCGGTGATTTTATGCATATATATCTTGTATGCTTGAATGGATCTTATTAAAATCAAGCTTAATTTATTTAATTTGCACTTAAATACTTTTTTTATCTTAAGGAAATTCAATTATCCAAATATGCTTACATATAATACAGATAAATATTGAACATTTTCTTGTGATGGTTTTCTTAAGCCTTTATGAAGATAGTTGTCTCATTAAAATAGTTTTGTCATTAAAGATATAGAAACTCCAAATACATTTGCTTGTGCATATTTTAATAAAATACTACCTTACTACTACTTTATAAATTAAGTTTAAAAAAGGATTTAATCTGATAAAACCATTATATAAAAAGGATTTAATCTAAAATATATGTTTACTTCTACTTTATATATCAGTTTGCTTAGATTTAGTAAAAATTTATTTGTTTTTACCTTTGAAATCAATTTTTTGATGTTCCAGTGAAAATATGAAAGATGTTGGACTTTTCATTCAAAAATCATGTCAATTTATGCTCTTACTTTGTCCATTTACTTTGCCTGCTACTTAACGATAGCAAGAAAATCTCCACTATAGATATTAAAAAATCTATACTAAATGTGTTTTTAGTGAATAGTGGAATATGGTTCAACAACAATCTCTGGAATCTATAAAAACTTTATTCGATTACCTTTATCCATTAATCGCAGGGCTCGAATTAACGCAAAAAAATCTAATCACGAAAAAAAAAAAACTTTTAACTGCACCCCCTTCTATCCTTGGTGTCGCTCTGCGGTAAGGGGGCGATAGCGTTAGAATAAAGCAGGGTTGTCCAAATGCTTTTGGGGATGGGGGGAGGTAGGGAGGTAGGGGTGTCCCCTCCTTTCCTCAAAGCTGTTATGCAAGCATTTGAGTTGGCACATTTTGCAAGTTTTGAACTATAGTTGGAAAATTGCAAATATTGAGGACCTTTTTTTTTATAATTGTTTTTTTTTTGTACATATATTATCTGTCATATTTAAATATTATCTCATAATTTTCTTGTTTTTAGTTTACTGTTATAACTTACAATTAAGTTATAGTTTAAAGTTTAAGTTGCAGTTATAGTGTAATGAGCAAGTTATGATGTAATGAGCAAGTAAAGTATTTAATACTATTACGATATTACTTTTAGTAATTGTTTCTACTTAACATGATCCTTAAAAAAAGTAAAAGTAAAAATGCAAATATTACAATATTTAAACCACTTTAATTAGTTGTAAAAAACTATTAAATAAGTTCATGCTGACAATAAAACACGTGATATTTTTAAAGAGTATTGAATTGTTATTATAAAAAGCTATAAAACAACAATAAAACAAACTGCAAAGTTTTGACAATATAAAGACCTTATAATAATATAAAACAATTTTGTTACACTGATCATGTTGCTGGGCTATAAAGTTAAATTTTTATTACATTAATAACATAAGACACGTTTGAAATAAAACACATTAAATAAATAGAAATGTTTAATTTTTAAAAAAATGCATAAGTATGCGTAGACCAAACGAAAAAGGTCAAAGCAAAGAAACATTAGATGCCACATTTTTCTAAGTATATTTAACGTACTATCAAAAATTTAAGTATAAATAACTTTTTCATTTAAGTGGTTTTTAAGTTGATATTTTTCAATCAATTTTTTTGTTCAAATTGTTTTGTAATAAAAAGTGAAAAAAAAAATTTGGTTTAATAAATCAATTTATTATTATTATTATTATTTCGTAAAGTTTAAGTATATGCTTAAATTATTTTTTTGGAAAAAATTTCCTTGAACAGAAGTAAAATAGTTTATTATTTTTTATGTAAAATTTTCATAATAATTAATTTTTGGTTTAACATTCGCAATAATCACTGTTTTAATTTTTGCAATATTTTGCAATTGAATGTTTTCTACTTTTAAAACTATTTTCAAGAAACAAATTTAAATTTGAAAAAAAAAATAAAATTGTTTAAAACTTAAATATAATTTTTTTCTTGGTTGCACTTTATTCTAAAACTGATATTGTTACTGTAGCTATACTGTAGGTATATGTTTATTTTTCAGGAATGACCCTTGTTATGCCACTGGGTATTACAATTAAATTTATAATTATTAAACGTTAAAATTTTTTAAATTATGCCTTTTTTTTTAATATCAATTTTTAAACGCAAAAATATTTGAATGTGAGATTTTTAGAAGACTTTTTTTAGAAGAATTCTTTTGTTCAGATAGATTTCTTTTTAAAAAAATTCCTAAAAACAACTTGTGTATTTATAGAAAATATTTAATCTTGATATCTAAATAAAATTTAAATATAAAAAAATGGTATTGTGTTTTTCATATTCTATTTGACATTTTTTGCTTTAACGTCTTTTTCTTTTTAAACTTTTTACTTTGGCGACTTTTTAAAATATTAATGGCTTCCACGCAGAGATTTAAAGTAATTTAAATTTAAAAGTGCTTTAAGTTGAATGGAAATCTCAGCGCAAAAGAGCAAATCAGAACAGAATGATCATGCTTTTATTCAAAAGTTAAATTTAGTGTGATGTACTTTATGAGCGCTAATAAAAAAACTTAGACAAAAACATGTTATTAAGAATTGTCAAAAAAAAGAAAGCTAAATTAGAAAATAAATATTTTTTTAAAGAAAAAACTAACTGCGAAGGTATGAAAAGCAATCCTAATTTGAATGGTTTTAACTGCTACATCTGCATTAAATCTGGACATATTGCTATAAACCGTTTTTAAAAAAAACAAAAGTTTAATGTGGCTGGTGTTTTTTATTTGGAAAAACCAGCCATATTTTGAGTTTTTAGGGAAATGTAAGTTGGCAATTGCTAGCACCAACTGATTCTCTAAGCAAATAATAGCACTCCCAATATGCATCGAGCATGTGAACAACTTTGTAGAAAAAGTTCTGGTTGACAATTAATGTAAAAACCATCAAATGAAATGACTTGATAAGCAAATGTTTATATCAAAAGAAACAAACTTTAGGTATTGACTGTTAAGAAAAAGCTTTAGAAAACAAATTTTTATTATAATAACTACTGGAAAAAAAACTATGAACATCTGTAACAATTTTAAAATGTTTTGTTAAAGGTGTTAATTATTATTGCTATTAGTATTGCTGTTTTAATTGTTGTGCACTTGAATGATGAAAAGATTGAATTTGGTTTTATGTTAATGTACATGGTGAAAAGATATGTTATTATACCGAATAAAGAATTTGTTGCATATTTTCAATCTTATGCACAGTGCTTAGTCAAAGAATGGTAATTCATATATTTGTAAAACAACTGTCTACTACATCAGCAATATAGTTGTTGATTTAAAAAAAAACATTGGTTGAAAATATTAGAAACCTTTAGGGTGGTAAGGATTAATAACAAATGTGTCTGTAGTGTTTCACCAATCATGCAATTATTCGAAAATGAAAAGAAAGAGTTTTGTTGGAGACCTATCAAACTCATTTTAAAATAAGAGGATCAAAATAACAGACAGAGAATCAATGTATTATCTTGATTGAACACTATCCTATTGGGAACTGGCTTAAAATTATCTTATACTTTATTAAACACCATAGGGTTTTAGATGTTTTATTTTTGCAGCTGTTCTTACATTACTTATTTAGACCATGTAGCAACTTTTGCCAAGATTGCTAAATGATTATAAATTTTTTCAATTAGTAAGGAAAAAAAGAGTTTTTTTTTAATTTTTGTTAGAAAATGAGCAGTCAGATCAGGATCACATTGAAATTTTACAAAATGTGGCTTAATAAATCTCTTCATCTTTAAAAATATTTAGAATATTAAAAATGCCATTTTTTTAATATCTTAAACATTCTCTACCCAAAAGTGGTACCTAAATCAATTTTAGCTCAATAATATACTTGGTAAAGTAGCATTTAATAAATATCAAGTTTTATGACTTTATAAAAACTTAAGAAAAGTTTCAGTCCAACTTTTAGATTTTCTTATAACTACTAACAAAACTTAATAAAGCAATCTGTCATTTTTTTTTTGTCATGTTTTTATTTATAATTTTTAAAATATAATTTCTTTTTGTAAAAAATTAGTTTATTTACTAAGTTCTCAGATAATTACAATTAAAGTACTAAGGCCAACACTCTTAATTTCTAGTTACTTCTAGGGTACCTCAAGGTTCTATCCTTGGTCCTGTTTTGTTTCTTATCTACATTAATGATACATTAATTCTCAATACATTAATTCTCGATAACCTCTCTCGATAACTCTTGATAACCTACATTAATTCTCGATAACATCTAAAGTAGCTCTTTTTGCTGATGACTCAACTTAATACTCCTGTCTTGACAAAAAGTCTTTTCTTTTCAATCGCTGAGAACAGGCAGTCGATCTTAAATCTGATCTCACTTCTGTAACAGGTTGGGGCTCACAGTGGCTTATAAATTTTAACCCCAACAAAACTTAGTTGTTTACTGCAAATAACTATCACAGTACTGTCGACATTCCTATATTACTGAATGGCAATCCTCTCACTGAATCCTCTTCTTTACGTCTTCTTGGATTATTGTTTAATACTGACCTTTCATGGAAACTATATATACAATTAATTACTAAATTAGCATCTGTTAAAGTTGCTTCTCTTTATTGTGCTCGCAATTTTCTCTCTCCTGATTCCATTCTCTACCTCTACAAATCTCTTATTCGTCCCTGTATAGAACATATGGAATATTGTTGTCATATTTGGTGTTGTTCTTCTAATGCTCTCTATCTTCTAATGATGCTCTCTATCTTCTAGACAAGGTCCAAAAACACATTGTAAACGTAGTTGGACCCACTCTATCTGCTAA